GTTAATTTTTAAGGTTTTTCTTAGATTGGGATTTTTCTAAAGTAAAAGTAAATTGGAGACTTACAAATGTAATTGTTCTGGTATTTCCTTTGTTTCCTATGTATATGTTTATCACATGTATAAGATCATTTTTGATGAGGTACCAAAAAAGTAAATATCAGAATTTTTTCACAGTGCATATGTTTTTGTGTAAACTTTTGTAACTAAGTAAAAGTAAACAAATGTAAATAAAGATCTATACAGAGAATCTTCAGACATATTGGCCTGAAGTAGAATTAGCACAGTTATTGATTCTGCCAAACTAGGATTTACATCTTCACTGCAGAAGTCCTGCATCCTACTTAAAGAAATAATGTTATAATTCTTATCTGAATAAAAATGAAAAATTAGAAATTTCTATAAGATGGAGCTTCTATCTTAAAAGCATACTAAACCCCAGAATTTTCACATACCGTCCATCCTATCACAGAAACCTTGCACTTGAAGTCAGTGGGATTACATGGAAGGCAAAATATTATTAAGAGAAAGGAAAAAAAAACACAAACAATACCCATATTTTCTTCCAGAATCCAACTGTTGCTCACTGTAGCACTGTCTAAAGTGTTCTCTGAATAAACATAAGCTGTTAAAAGTTATGTAAATATTTTCCATACATTATGTACTGAGTACAAGAGTTGAAATAACTCTCACTGCAATAAAAGGATGTTTCATTATTTTCTTTAGTTATTTCTTTAGAAAATTTGTGAATTCTCTTGAAGTATTCAAGCCATGGGTTTGATGCTCTGTGTATTCAAACAAATAGCTGATTCCCTCTTGTTTAAGAACATAGACTCCAGAACAATATTACTGGAATTGAATGCTGGCTATATCATTTCTTCATGTGGTATTCTGTTTCTGTATCTGTGAAACAGAAATAGCAATGGTACCTTTCTCATATGATCATTATGAAGAATAAATAAATACATTCAAAGTGCTCAAAATAGTGCTTGATAGATAGTGCCTGTGCTGGTATTACTATTTTCAATAAGTGTTTTTTAACAGACACATTGCAAATCACTTCCTACTGAGTGTTTAACTTTGCATGCATTACAAGGGGAAAAGAGAGAAATGAATAAGGTCCATCAACATGGAAACTGCAACCTTCCCTTCTAACAAACTTATTCTTTGTCAACATGTTTTATCAGCCTCAGGATAGCCACATAATCAGGTTTAAAAAGGCAAAATGAACTTATCTCAACCTGATGCCTCTCAGGATTAAAAAGGAATCCTGGATTTAATAAATGAAGCTTTTTCAGTTTTAGCAACTTTTGCTAAGAAGCTCAAAGGACATTCCAAATGCTCTAATTAACTTTTGACATATGCAGTGAATTGAGAGGCAGTTGTTTCCATTTTTTAAATGTATTTTGTATTATTTAGAGTGATTTAGTAGAATGGCTAAAACTGTAGAAGATTTAGAAGTACAAAAACACCCAGGCTGTCACTCAGTCAACTTATTAAAATTTTCAACAATTTTCCATGAAGCAGAGTCCTATTTCTAAAAATTATTAAGACTTGTGTCTAAAAATGTTTGTAAATGTTAAAAACATCTAATTTACTGCCAAAGTACTACTTTTTGACTAAACAAAAAAAGAAACATTACTGAGCATGGCATGACTGTGGCTACAACTTAGGAGTAAAGAGGAGCCATTTGCACAGGCTCTTCTACTACCCAATTGGGACTTTCTGTGTGTCCCAATTTCTGTGTGTGTCAGGACCTGCATAAGTCATGTGAAGGGTTTGATCTAGAGAGTGGAACCAGGAATTGAAGGATCCTTAAGTGAAACTCTTCCAAGCATGAAGTTCTTTGTAGATTTGCAGTGGTATAAAACTCACTATTCCCAAGGTTCTTGAACTGTCTACAGATATTTCTAACCATTCCTATTTCTAACTATTCCTGAGCCACTCTTTGGTGGTCCTGTGAACACTAGGATTTCTTGGATTTTAGTACCCTATAATTCTAAAAATGAAATATTATGGAAGCTAGGGACAAAATAAAAGTAGTCACTTCATTCATAGTAAATGAACAAAGTTAGGAGTCTTTCAAGGCATTCAGGAGACTGAAGGACATGGAAAGGAAATTATAAAATTCAACACACTGTTAATGAGCTCTAATCTTTAGGCAAACTTTGCAAATGAAGGAAAGGAAGTTAAAAAAAAAAAACAAAGCAAAAGTGCTTTTCTGTCCCCTATTATGTTTTAATTAATGGAATGGAGCAAAAATACCAAGGGGCCCTCTTCCTTCAGATTTAGCAAATTCCCTCCCAAGTAACAGCTTTCTTGCAGAGAAAAGATTCTACCCTCCATGCTTCAAGTACTTCATACCAATTCATTTTCCCCTATAGCAACCTGGGGAGCCTTTGGACAGAGCAGTGTTCTAATTCAAGAAGGAAGACATGGGTGCTATTGGAGACTAACTCAAAACATAGTAAGAACATGCTAGCTTAAAACAGTTTGTTACGAAGCTGTGATGAGATAAGGAAGAAAAAAAAACGAGCCAGAGTTTAGAAATCATGCAGCTATTGACCATTTAGGCACCCCTGAGTGAACCCTCTCCCTGGTCTTTGAGTATAGGCCACTTTGGCATTATGCGCTCACATGGTGAGTTACACATGGAAGGAACTGAATGCTAGGCAAATGCTATAGACCACAGTTAGGTCTGCCATGAATTGAAAATAATGAAGTCCTTCTCCACAGAAAATTTGAGAACCACATCTGATTGGAGCTCACTAACAGTGTGTTGAATGTTATCATTTCCTTTCCATGTCTTTCAGTTTCCTGAATGCCTTGAAGGACTCTTAACTTTGTTTATTTACTATGGATGAAGTGACTACTTTTTTTTGTTCCTGGCTTCCATAGGCAAAATATCCAGTTTTCTAACTATTTATGACATTTATTTAATAAAATTTAAATATGACTTTAAAACCCTTCATGGAAATTTTATATGGAGGCTGATACCTACTTTGTATTAGCATGGGACCAACTAGCAGACTGCCTCAGGGAATAATACCAGCCCAGGAATTTAAACTATGTTTGCACGTATAAATCAAGTAAGATTAAAGTCATTCTCAAAAGAATTTTGGCAATATAGGCATTCAGCTCCCCCAAGTCAGCATGGAACAGTGAAAAGAGCATTGACCTAGATATCAGGAGTACTGGGGTCCAGAATTAACTCCAATATTAACTTGCTTTGTGACTTTTGAAGTTTCCAAACCTTCTATACCAAAATTTCCCTCATCTATTAAAGTGGCAGTTTGAATGAGCCAATTTCTAAAGTCTCTGTCAACTTTAAAATTTCATAGTTCAAAGAAAATTATTTTCCCTTAAGGTAGTTTCCTGATGAAGGAATAATTTTCCCAGCTGCACATTTACTGCCAAAAGATGAACTGACCTCCCAACATTGGTACAGGGAGCTCTTTATTATAAGTTTAGCACCATCAGACTCTTGAAGGCTGAAATCACACAGCAAATAAAATATTGACCCTGATACTCAAAACATGCCTGTGATGTGGAGACACAGGCTCCAATTTATGAATGTCTCCAGGGTGAAGGAGAACTCATCCTCACTGTGATGGAATCAGGCCTATAAAACACCAATATCTATAAGGTACTGTTTATTGAATTGTTATTTGTTTCATAAGATCTTTCTCAGGGGGCCCTTCAAATGCCTAACAACCCAAAATAAATCCATGTGTCCTCTCACAAAGCCTACAGTATTAACCCAGATCTTAAACAGAGTTAGCAGTCTAGTGAGTTCTCAGGAACTTGAGCAGGAATGAGCACACTAGAGTTGATTCCATAGGTATTCCATTTATTGCTTATGGCTCCAAAATCATGATTTAAGCTTCTCTGCACCCTAAGATGTTCCTCCCAGTGCTCACCAAGGAATCTAATGTGAGCACCAATAGACTTGAACCAAAGAACCAGAGTTAACTTAAAACATCACTAATTCCTATGATGACTCTCATCTCTGAAATAAATGGATGAAAACATTGATGCAAATGAAGACAAATTCAGAAGAAAAAAAAGTCTTGAAACAATATGGAAATTACAGAGTAAACTGTAAAATGCCTAATCATAGTTCGCTATTCAAAAGAATGGAAAACTCATGTCTAAGCAATATGAAAATTTAGGAAGTATATTTTGACAAAGAAAAGACAATAATGAGGTAATGATGTCTATGTATAGATGTATGCATTATATATCATATATACATAGTTTATTATCAAATCTATCAAAAGACTGAATAAAGAAATGACAAAAATAGGACACTTTGAGATATGCAATCTTCATTATCTAAAATATGATTGCAATGACAAATTGTGTACATAAAGAAGTAGGAAGAGTTTTCAGAAGGGAATAGTAACTTGAAAAGAGCATTTACATTCTAGGTTTTCTAGAAAAGATAACAGTGGATGACAGTTCTTTCACAAATAAAGCAAAGATTGAAGGTGGTTTATCCCAGGCTATCCAAGCAAACTAATGCTGGGATAGATATTGAAACTACACACCTGAAAACACTAAAACAATGCCTGATGAAGTTGAGTGGTTGAAGGAAGTGGATTAAATGAGTAGAGTCCTAGAGTGAGCTAGCTACCCCTTTGCCCAGTGGGTTATGATGTATTGGTCTAAAGCAATCACAGTTCTTTAGGCAAGTACTATTTTTGGTACTAATAGTTTTTCTTTCTAACTAAAAGCAAGAAAAGGACCTTCGGTCAGTCTTACATCAATCCATCAAGGTCTCCATTTCCTCAATAGATGACACAGGGCCTCCAAGGGCTTTTCTATAGTGAACTGGCTCTTCTCAGCTACCAAATTCAAGTCTCAGGACCATCAATCTCTTTTACCACCTACAGAGAAAGAATTTTTCCTATATTATTTGAGCCACTGGGATGTTGAATAGCCTTAAGCCATTTTTTTTTTCAGCACTCTTCTGCTGGTTGGTGTGCTTCTTCTCTCTGCAGAAATCAAGGATATCTACCTATGAGAAGATGTGGGCTTTCATGAGCAGTAGAGAGCAGACTGCCCTGGTAAAAAACAGTGATGAAGGGATACAAAGAGTGCTCACCACTGACTATGCCCTACTGATGGAGTCCACCAGCATTGAGTATGTGACACAGAGAAATTGCAACCTCACTCAGATTGGGGGCCTCATTGACTCCAAAGGTTATGGAGTCGGAACACCTATCGGTAAGAAGGGCAAGGTATTAGCCAACACTGAGTTAGATAATGTTGATTACAAGTTTTCCACATTTTGCAATGGTTTGCAATGCCTTTAGAGACTAACAAGAGAAATGTCCATATAGACCATAGGGATGGTTTAAATTGAAGATTCCCAGATATTTAACCTAAGAAACTTTCAACTATTTTTTTCATGTCCTACCACAATGTAACTATTTAAGAGTATATAGGTTTTATTACTTTGCTCCAAATATTCTAAAGCTTATATTTTCCTAGTTGATCCTTTTTACATTATTTTCTTCAATGCCTATATGTATGTATATAGTTTTTCTGCCTTAAATTCCTTAGATTATATTAGAATATAAGGAAAATGATTCTTTATATAGATAAAAATTAATTTTGCATATAAAAGGAGAGTGATCAATGTCAATGATGAGCAAGGCTCCATCATTCAAAAGAAAAAGGACAAAGGTTAGATTATAATTTGCTCAGGCATAAACTAGATTCAATCAACAATGACTACTTAAAACCTCCAAATATTCCTATTACTTGGTTCTGCAACACTTAGGGAAATTATTGCCTGATGGGCAATAATGTCTTCTTGCATTACAGTAATAGACATGAGTAGAATATTTGTCTGTGTTCAAGGAGCAATTAATTATTTCCTCTATATAGAAAACTGCCTCTCAAGTGTTCGCTTCTTTACAGAAAATGGTATTGTATAAGGTTCTGCTTTGAAGTCCACCTGGTCCTCTCAAGTGAATCTTTGGTAATTGATAAACATTCCAAAGGAGATAATTCAAGAGCCATCTTAGGCCAGTGGGCTAATCCAACAAGAAGAAATCACAGGAATAGTCAAGCCAGACAATTAAGGTTTTTGACCCTCTACATCAGGCAGGGATGGCAATATCAAATGCCTAGAGGCCAAGAGCCAAGATCATAAGTGAGGAAAGCTCATTGACAGAGGAGGTAGTAGAGAATGCTGGCAACCTTAGGCAATCAGAGACAGCTTGACTTATCGAAAGGAGGCCTTTCCAGTAAGTCAGTTGTATACATGTGGGAAATTGAGAACAAGTTTGTAGATAAAAGTTTCATTTTTCCAGACAAGTAATAAATCTAGATTTTAGGTGAAATCTTGTGTTTTAATTTGGAAACCAATTAATTTGTTTAAAAAGGACTATGTATCCTATATTCAACTATATTGATACTAATTTAACTAACCAAATTATCATCAAGTATCTTCAGTATTTTCCATGAATACATAACCAATTTGACTCACTGTTAACTACCTGGTATTAGAAGTACATGCCATAGAAAATTAGCTTTATTATTACTAGTATCCTGAATGTCTTATAAATAAATTTGCAGGATAGTTAGTCCTTCTTGTCCCTTTATTTCCAATAACCTTTCTTGATGGAGTGTGTATTTTTTCCAAGAGGGGAGCTAGCCTATAATTTAGTCAACTTTCTCTTTGTGGAGCTCGGGGAGATTGTTCAACACTAACTAAAAGGACACTGTGCAGCTTTTTAAATGTAAAACCAATGTCCTATTTTCCTAACCAAGCTTTTCTATGTAATTTTAGATAATAGGGATGGGAGAAGTTAGGCAGATGTTATTTTTTATATTTCATCATTGCTGATTGTAGTGAAATAGGACATTAAAAAAAACACCAGGAGTTGGATGACTTTTCTTAAATCTTTTGCAGAATTAATACCCTAGGATTGATTGTGATATATTGCATATCTTCTTAGAGGGGTAAACTTAGCGTTAATAGAATGATTTTTAGATTTGATTATAAAGTCAAAATCTGCACCTGTACCATTCCATCTGCCATCCTATGACCCTACCTCACTCCCTTTCAGTACCTCTCTTTGATACCAAATTTTATGTCTGGTAAATAATGATAGAAAATGATAATACATAGCAGTCCTTCTGAGAATTCTGCAGTTTATCACGAGACATTTAATTAGCATTCCTTTTACAGAATGGAATATAATATGAAAACTAAAATTCCTGATAGCATGGTGATAGTACAGGGTTGGATGTGTTGGAGGAGAGGAGCAATTGGCTCCTTTCTTTAGAACTACTAAATTAATGTAGCCCTTTGAGAATCACTGCCTGGCTTCACATGCATGAGGCTGACTCTGTAATGAGTATAACTACAAATGTTATATATACGATATGTTATATATGCATAAAATAAGGAGCGATCCGAATGTACTCATTCAGTATCTCTTTTGCCAAACTTACTCATAACAAGTCCCAAAGTTAAAGAGCCTTCTTCCCTCCCTAGATAAAATGAAATATACTCCAGGAATTTTTCACAGTGGTTATAAACCTGTCATACTTTTAAACAAAAAAACAATTGAGGAATAATTGGAACAGATGGCAGATCTCAGAGAGAATATAGCCATTGGGAATACAGCTGTTGGATAAATTTGTGAAATCCTTCTTCTATGATGAATTGACTCTTTAAGAAAGATCACTGCTATTCAGGAAGATCTGTTTATGTAACAATTTTTACAAGTGATTTGTAATAAGTCACTACTGATGCTATCCAGTTTATTTAAACAACAACAAAGATTAATGCTAAAATATACGAAGATATAACAAAATTTCTCCACACACTTCCAGTCTTCTCCTGACTGAGTTCCTGAAGGCTCCAAACTCTCTCCCATAATACAAGATTGGCAAAGTTAGTTCAGTCACAACACAAAACTGAAACTTTTGCTTCTTTGAGACTCTCAGGACAGAAGCTCTAGAAATGTGCCTCCTGAGGGATTTAAAATAAAACTTCAAGAGAATGAGAGCAGTTAAGGTTTAAACGGGTTACAAGGAGGCTGGAAATTACCTTCCTTAGAGAGCAGCTTTAAACAGAGATTGGATCTCCACCTGTCTGAAACGTTTGAGGTGTTATGCAGCTTGAAGGCAGAAAGAAAACGTCAGTCAACATTCACTGAGTGTCCACTGTGTGCACTCCTATGATTCCTGCTCACACTCTTCAAAGCACTTTCATGTACCTTAAAGCAAAGTGTTCCTAGCTAACTCAATTGCTCACGTGCTATTGGTAAGTTAGTGGTACCAATCGTGACTGTAGTCATTATTCTGAGTGTATTTAAGCAAACAGCTGATATGTCTTAATTTGGCTTTCAATATCCATTCTCTCATCAAAATTCATACTGCTAACTGACAGTCCATAAACTCCTTCCAAACTATTTTGCTTTTCTTCTAAATTTTGAGTGCTGACCACTATTTTTACAAGTCTCAGGAGGAAAGAAATGACAAATGCCACAAATGTTATTGATCAACTTTTCAAACCTAAACCATAAGGCACAGGTAAGAGATGGAAGGGGCGGTGTGAGAGCACTGAGAAGTGAGAAGTGAAGAAAAGTGAATTTGATTCTTGACCCTGCCAGTAACTATTAGTTTCAATTATACATTCAAATTGGAAATGTCTTTAATCCTATAACAAGTGCATTGGACTATATGTTTCCTAAGATTTCTTATCTTAAAATGCTGAATTCTTCAATTTGTTTCCACCAAAAAAGAGACTAAAATTTGTAAGCAGAGAGACTCAGGATGTACTACTTTCCTACTAAGTAGAAAAAATGCTAACAAAAATTTTCACCACCCAAGGAGAGCTCAAGTAAAGGAAGCTTGCTTTATCTCTTCCTTTACATTGATTAACATAGAAATCCAGCATCAAGAAGCTATTTCTACAGATATATACTGGTACCTTCTGACCTTTACATAATTAAAAGTTCATCGGCATTACCCAGAGATAGAGTATAAATATTATCAACAAAGTCTATGAAAGTAAATTTTGTAATGCCATTGAAATATTCAAAATCTACTCTGAAGTTTGTCTTAATTGGTACATTATTCAGTATGGATGAACAGCTGTAATCAACATCTGCAAATTTTCAGTGGCTTTCACAGTAAACCTTTATTACTTGATCTTGTCAGAGTCGAAAGTGAACTGAAACAGAGGCTTCGCATTATTCTAAGATCCTTTTATTTTGTGGTTCCACCATCCCTAATGTCTTGAAAGCTTTTTCTTCTTGCTAAGAACTAGAAGAAAGAAAGAGTACAGATCATTTGGGATGATTTAAGACACAAGTCTAAAACTGACATACATGACTTTAGCTCCCATTGGATAGAAATCAGACTTGTGACCATACTGAACTGTAAGAAACTGGGAAATATCTAAATACTCCCCTAGAAAAAAAAGAAAATGACCAGATTCTGTCACATTTGAGATAACCAAGAGCCTAGAAAAAGTAGAAACTAAATAATAAAATTCTTTGACACATGAAAAGACTCATGAAGACGTCTTGAGTCTTCTCAAGAAACAAATATATCTTAGAATTCATTGCTTAGTTTTTCCTTATTTAGAAGGAGCACACTTTGGGCAATGGTGACTCTCAACATGATAGTCATCCCCTTTCTAGTTATTTAGAACCTTAGAAATGTAGGGTCAGACCTCCCTTACCTTGGCTAATTGATTTGTAGGTCAGAGTTTCACAATAATCATGAAATATTTAACATTAAGATAGTAAAATTTCTTGATATATTCTTCACTCTTTCAGTGACCAATATTCAAATAATGTCACTTTCAGGTTCTCCTTACCGTGATAAAATTACAATTGCTATTCTCCAATTACAAGAAGAGGGGAAGCTACACATGATGAAAGAGAAATGGTGGCGGGGAAATGGCTGCCCTGAAGAAGAGAGCAAAGAGGCCAGTGCCCTAGGAGTAGAAAATATTGGGGGTATCTTCATTGTTTTGGCTGCTGGACTGGTCCTTTCTGTATTTGTGGCCATTGGAGAATTTATATACAAATCACGGAAGAACAATGATATTGAACAGGTGAGTCATCTCTTTCTAAGACCGGATAGTTTTTAGTTTGAATGATCTGTCTTAAGTTTGAGATTTTTAAGGATGCTTGCCCTTTTCTTGTAACAGTCTATTGAATTAGATGCCCAGAAGAGCCATTTTTGAGTTAGAGCAAAGAGCTATTGAATCCCTGCCAGGTGCTGCTGGCACTGTAGCTCCATCATTTATTAATGAGAAGAAGGAAGAGCTTTATATACCAAATCCAATTAGCACTATTTGGAATGACAGTGCAGAAACTCCAAACTCAGTTAAATTCTTCAATAGTTGTTTTTTCTTAAGATAGAAACTCTAGAAAGAGAAAGGAAGAAATAAATCCAAAATTGGAGGAGATATTTGAGAGAAGTGTTACCAGACCCTAAGTATAGGTTCTGAGCACAAGTACTAACAAAACAATTCATATGAAAATATAAAGATTTGGAAATTGTTTATTCTAGTCAAGGTATGGTTTGTAAAGGGATAATATGATAAACAATACAAAATAACAATGAAAAATGTTTGACAGGAATATGATAAACAATACAAAATAACAATGAAAAATGTTTGAGATTTGTTTTTCAAAATTCTGTTTAGAGTTTCAAGAGGATTTCAATAGTTGACCACTTTTGCCTAGTTTATTTTTAAGAACTCACACCAGAAATTTAGATTCTTCTGGAAAAGAAAATTGTTAGAAGATAATTCCTTCATAGCCCCACCAGAACAAACAAAATACAAAGGTCCTGCCTATTAATAACAGAACCACTTTAATACTCTACCATCACTATGTTGAAATTCTTAATCTTTTTTTTAACAAGGAGCCTTATATTTTTATTTTACACTGGATTCTGTAAATTATATTGCTGGTTTTGATTAATAATCTGATACACTAGACACACTTTATTTAAGTGGAGGCTCTCTTTTTAAGCAGCAAAAATTGGGAAATATTTATTATAACCCAGTGTCATCCTGAAAATTTTTCCCAGAATTACAAAGCAATTGTGAAGTTATTAAGCACCCCTTTCCTGGGCCTCATTAGAGAAAATTCTCTTTAATTAATGGGGAGAATTGAATGATCTGTTTTAACTTTCAATTTGCTCTTGAGGTGTCTTGTTTTATGCCACTAATTTGAAAAATTAAAGCTTGTGTATAGTATGCTTTAATGTGCTCCTCATAATTGCCAGTTCATTTGATTGACTTACGTTTTTATTTGAACATGCATTCATGCTTTTGATTTATTCATTTTCTATATTTTTTCCATTTCTTTTGCATGCAAGGCTTTTTGTTTCTTTTATGGACTGCAGTGTAAACAAACCCATCCAACCAACTCCACTTCTGGAACTACTTTATCTACGGATTTAGAATGTGGCAAATTAATTCGAGAGGAAAAAGGGATTCGGACACAGTCCTCAGTTCATACTGTGTAATCAGTTAAAAAAACCAGGATATGCCCGATAGAAATTGCTTCCCCTAGTTAATGTTGTTGATGTGTCTGTATCTTCTAGGCATAAAAAGCCCTAACTCCCTATCTGTTTATGTTAGCAAACTCATGTACACTCTTCTAGAATTGAATTCAATCCACTGGAAACAGATGTGCACTGGTTGCATTAGAGGTATACAGACTCCTGGTTATGCATATATACAGGAAAATAATCTGTCCAAAATAGCCATCTTTGTTTCATTTTCATGCATTAAAAATAAGTGAATGTTTCCTCATGAAAAAGGAGATTTAAACTTTTAACAGGGAAAAGCATGAAAACAAAATGGTAATTCTGTTGACTTCCTTTCATCTTTGTCAAACTTTTTCCCTTCTCTTTCCCTCTCCCTGTCTCATATGTTCTTTATATCTATACATTTCAAATTCTTGAAGTACTTGTCTTTTAATAAGTATGTACATAACTCCATAGCAATATTAACTTTTAATTCAAAATGGTTCCACTACTTAAAACGTATTATTTACACAAAGACTCCAAGGTATCTTAGATCTTAAAAATTCAAAAACTATGATTTAGGGAATCGCAGTTGAACTTGACCACCTGATGTCACTTCAGAAGAGCATTCCCTATGCTGAACAGAACTCTTGAATGCACAGAACAGTCAAGAGTGTTCCTGGGCAGAAATGCTGTAGCATCAAGTTCTCAAATAGAATTTACCTGTAGAGTTTAGCAATCTTCTGTAGGCTGAGATTCACTAAAGAACCAATTTTTTCTAAGCTCCATGTTATTTCATTGAAGATCCAAACAAAGTTCTAAGCTATGAACTAATTCAGAGCATCTTCTACTTACTGCTCATTTACCCTCAGTCATTGCATTGATGAATATCTTTCCATGAGATATTACCTCATTTCCTTCCCACTCACACAGGATAGTAGTTGTTTTTGGAGCAATCTTTTCTGAGAATTGTCACTTTCACACTAATTTCTCTGGATCCATCACACTAATTTCTCTGGATCCATCACCATTATTAATTCATTCCAAGTATGCTAGGGAGAAGGGCAAGGAGGAGAAAATAAATAAAGGAAAGAATTTCCGTACACATTAGTTACAGGTCTCTGCAGATATATTTTATACCTGCATTCAAAGTGCTGTAAATAATTCCCACACTAACTCAACTTGATGACATAGAAAAGTCAATTGCATACTTAATTTGTTGTGACAGAGAATGTCTGCAGGTCCCTCTGGGCTTGTTTCCCCTTCACAGTGAGTAAGGGGAATTGAAGATGCCTTTCATCTTCCTTCAATATGGGATCAATTGGTCTTTGTTCTCCTTAATGGGATTACCTCTTGACACATGAAGTGATCCCCTAAAATACATTCCTCAGAAGTAGAGATTTGCCATCTGTGCAGTCATATTGCGTTGCCTTCCCTTTGCTTAGCTTCAAATGGGTTCCAATTTTTGAATCGTAATTCTGCCTAGTCAACCCAATATTTCTTCAGTAAAGCATGATCAGAAAAATTAGCTTTTGCCCTGATTGTTTCTCAGTCTTGCCTTCTTTAAAGAAATGTACTTTTAAGAAAAAATATATAAATTACACTATTATTTATTTACTGTTATTGAAGTAGAAGCAACCTACTATTTGTCACAGGTCAGAATTCACATTTTTATACTCAAATAGAATCATATGTTGGCATAAATATTACATTATTCTTATTTCCATTATTTCATTGTTTCAGTATGTAGAAACTACAAACTTCTTATCTCATTTTCCAAGAACTATGCAATGTACCAGAAATGCTACCAAAAAATCAGGATTAACAAAACTTAACTTTCCACAGCAGCCATCTTTTAAATGTTTAGTTCAGAGATTTGGATAAAAACACGATGCCTTTCAAAAATTAATATTTGTGTACTACTTTAGACTATAAATCACCTAATTCTGGTCTTTATAAACTATTTTATAGTTTTCAAAATGCTTTTTCATACTGTATTACATTTGATCCTTTCAGCAATTTTAATTCAGTTTACTAACAGAGAAATGGATATCAGAGTCCATGACCTGGAGTTGTAGATATTAGAATCAGAAGAGAATTTTATAAACTAGTCAAACTTAGGTTCAAGCACAGCCACATATGGATTGACTGTAGGTAAATTACTGAATATCTCAGAGTCTTAGTTTCCTAATATATATTATGAGGCTATCATTTCTAGAACATAAAATAACTTGAAGGAGTATTTTTCAGAATGGGTGCCATTGGTGTTTCCCAAATAAAATTTTCATGATTAGATAACCCAGAATGAATGACACTAAAACATCCCTTTACCACATGAGATCTCAGTGTGTTTAGTATGTTGTCATGGATGGAGAGCTTCCAACAAAGTAGAAAGCTATTCAACATTTCCCAGGCTTCAAGATCACAAAAACATTTTCTCCAGAGCATCCTTATATCCAAGTGTTACACAGATGACCCTCTAGGATCATGGGAATGACAGTGTGGATCTCACCCCAAGACACTGTGCAGAACATCTTACACTGTGTGCAGAGCATCATAAGCACTCAATAGCAAGTTATTCAGTATTTGGAATAAACTTTTAACTTTTCTTATCTTCAATTTCCTTATTTGTAAAATGAAGATAATATTACTGAATTTCTACATTTACCATGAGAATTAATATGGTATATTATAGCACAAAAAATGAAACCACTTGTAAAAAAAACATAGTAGGTATTGGTTAACCAACATCAGTTCTTACTAGAGAAATGAAGTATTTTTGTCTGGTTATAAACAATAAGAAAAATCAATCAAACATCTTAAAACAGAACCATATTTAGTAAACATGCCTACTAATATACAGATTCAAACTCTGTCTCTAAGACTAATTTTCCCTATGTGTGCATTAAAAATCAGTGGCAAGGTCATTGCACCCAAGAGAAGAACTCACATGGCAACACATGAGGATGTACCATAGAAGATCTGGGCCTTGTCTTCAGAAATTCTGGTTCAGTTAGTCTTTAGTTGAGTCAGGAAAAAAATAGCGTTTCCAGATGCCCTGTTGATTCTTGTGGTCAAGAAGGGTTGAGAACAAATAGTTCCAAGTAGCCTGTATAACACATATTTATCATTCAATAGTCAATGGACTCTATATGAAAAATTTTAAAAAACTATGCATCTTTGAGATAGAAATTTCATGATATTCAACTGATAATCTTCACTTTTAGTTGTAAGACATAGAGCAGTACTGAGTTTAAACTCAGGGGTTCACACTTGCTAGACAGGTACTCTACCATGTAAGCCATGTCCTCAGTCCTTTTTTGTTTGTTAAACTGGAACTACCTTTATTGTATTTTATTTAGTTATTTGTAGTACTAATGCTTCCCATTTGCTAGGCAGGCACTCTACCACTTAAGCCATACTCTTAACTTTGCATTTTTAATAAAACCTGAAAATAAGTGTTTAAAGTTAATTGTATACATTCGTTTTCATAAAAAAATTAACTGGAATATAGCAGTTTTCTCCCAAATTAGGTCATATACATGAGACTTGACCTATCTTCAATACTAG